ATTAATTTTCCGGGATTTAAAATGACCAGAGAAAGGAGTTAAAGACACCCAAATGGCCCTAGATGTAAACCAAGAACTTCTGCTACACACATGACTTGAATACTGAATTAATATAATCAGTTCTCGAATTACTGTGGCATTGTAAATCAGTATCAAGCTAAAATTCAGAAAAATCTTTATGGAAACGATGCATAATCGACGGAAGATTCATAGAATTGGGCTTAATGTACGAATTAATTGTGATAATGTACGTATTAATTGTAATAATGTACGTATTAATGCGGGTATGATAGAGAGAAAGAGTTAGATAGACCGATAGATTAGATAAATTAGATATGCTGATGTAGATTTAGATGCGGATACAGATATACTCTTCCTTAATATCATTTTGATATTAATGTCTAGAACTCCAGCCCGGCATTTCATCACACGTCGTCATTTCTGATTTATTGACTCCACTCCCCCCCCCCCCCTTAGATTACGAGCTCGTGGTGGGTGTGGCAGAGAACCCGCCACAAACCTGACAAAGCATTAATGGCGACTCTTTTCATAGGCGACTTAGTGCTTGCTGGCTAAATTGTGGCGCCGGCGGGGGGGGGGGGGGGGGGGCTGGGCGACGGCACTTCTTGGCTCTTCGAAGCTATTGGGATCGTGGCCCGCTGCCCTTCAGAGCCAGAGGAGGAGTTTGATATAATTTTTTGATATTCTGTTGCAAAAACTGGCACACACACTCAGCTACACACACACATATGCACAAATTATATATATATATATATATATATGTATATATATATATATATATATATATATATATATATATATATATACACACACACACATGTATGCTGTGTATGTGTATGTACACGGTATATGTGTATGTGTCTACATGTATGACTTCATATGTAAATATGCAGAGTGCACTAATTTTCCACGTAAGGAAGCCTGCTGAATGCCGTGTCATAATCTGAATGAACTGCCGGATAACACATTCCGAGTGACGTCACAAGCCCCCCCCCCCCCCAAATCACGTAACTTGTATATCATACCTTGACCCCGCACTTCATCCGTTGTCTTTCTGCGTGTCACTGAAAGCACTCAGTGATTAGATAAAAATAAAGGTGAAATGTTGTATTCGTTCTCTGATCGAGTGAGGGATTGTTTATGCAAAATACGTCGGTGTGTTGACATTTTTTTTTCTCTCTCGCTTTCGATAATATGACTTTAATTTTGTTATGTGATGTGGTGTTATCACTGCTAATGTTCTTATTTCAAAATCTTTCTCACCTGAATTTGTAATTTAAGAAAAAATACACAATGATGGAACAAGGGATTGTTCCATACATACACACACACACACACATATATATATATATTTATATATATATATATATATATATATATATATATATATATATATATATATATATATATATATATATATGTATATATATGTGTATATATATATATATATACATATATATATATATATATATATATATATATATATATATATATATATAATATATGATATATAAATGCATATATATATATATATATATATATATATATATATATATATATATATATATATATATATATGTGTGTGTGTGTGTGTGTGTGTGTGTGTGTGTGTGTGTGTATGTGTGTGTGTGTGTGTACATACATACATATATATATATATATATATATATATATATATATATATATATATATATGTGTGTGTGTGTGTGTGTGTGTGTGTGTGTGTGTGTGTGTGTGTGTGTATCAATCTGTCTATCTATCTTTACAGGAATACACACACACACACACACACACACACACACACACACACATATATATATATATATATATATATATATATATATATATATATATATATATTAAATATTATTGTAATTGCAACAACAACTTCAAGATAATAACACCAATAATAGTACTGAAATACAGTCATGATAGATTGATAATAGTAACAGTAATAGTTGAAAGCAATAATAATTAATAGTTAATTTTTGTACAAGTAAAGAAGCTGTTAGTTATGGTAATTATTATGATAATAGGAATTATAAGAACAATAACAATAAGGAAAATTTGTAAAAATAATAATACTTGAAGTAGTAATAATGCTAACAATAACAGTAATAGTAATAATAATGATAAAAATTATAACAATAATGATAATGATAATAATAATGATGTTAAAGAATAATTATAATATTTCGTAATAATAATGATGACACTGCTACTACAACTACTATAAATATTAACAGTAATAGTAATAATAATAACAACAACAACAACAATAATAATAATAATAATAATAATAATGATGCTACTACTACTACTACTACTACTAATGATGATGATGATGATGATATAATGATTCTAACAACAACAAGAACTACATCAACAATGATAATTTTAATAACAACAATAATGATAATGATTATGATAATAATGATAATCATCATTATGAACAGTAGTGTTCATGATAAAAGTGAGGAGATAAAAACAAAAATAATAATAACAATAGTAATAATGATAATGATAACACCAACAATATTGATAACAATGATAGTAATAAAGATAATGATAATAAGAATATTAAGAATAAGGTTGAAAATCATGCTAATAGTAGTAATGATAATACCTATATCAATAATAATAATAATAATAAAATTAATATAAGTGATGTTGCTATGATAACAGTCATGCGAACGATCATGATGACAATAATAACGACAATAATAATGATGATGATGGTGATGATTATGACGATGATGATAATAACAACAAAAATAATGATGTTGTAGATTATGATGATGATGATAATAATAACAACAATAATAAGGATGATGATGATATTAATAATGATAACAATAATGATAACATTTATCATACTAGTACTACTACTGCTAATTATAATAAGAACAATGAAATTAATTATAACCATAATGATGATAATAACAATAACAATAGTAATAACAATAATGATAATGATGATAATAACAATAATAATAATGATATCAGCAACAATGATAATAATATCAATATCATGATAATAATAGTAATGATAATAGTGATGACGATGATGAGTATAATAGTAATAATGACAATGACAATAATAATAATAATAATAATAATAATAATGATAATAATAATTATAATTATATTAACAACTACAACAACAACAATAATAATAATAATAATAATAATAATTATTATTATTATTATTATCATATTAACAACTACAACAACAATAATAATAATAATCATTATAATAATAATAATAATTATTATTATTATTATTATTGACATCATTATAATATTGATAATAATGATAATTATTATTATTATAATATTGATAATAATGATAATAATAATAATAGTAATTATAATAATAATAATTATTATTATTGATATAATAATAATAATAATGATAATAATAATAATTATTATATTAACAACTACAACAACAACAACAATAATAATAATAATAATAATAATTATTATTACTATTATCATATTAACAACTACAACAACAATTATAATAATAATTATAATAATAATAATAATAATAATAATTATTATTATTATTATTGACATCATTATAATATTGATAATAATGATAATTATTATTATTATAATATTGATAATAATGATAATAATAATAATTATTATTATAATAATAATTATTATTATTATTGATATAATAATAATAATAATGATAATAATAATAATTATTATATTAACAACTACAACAACAACAACAATAATAATAATAATAATTATTATTATTATTACTATTATCATACTAACAACTACAACAACAACAATTATAATAATAATCATTATAATAATAATAATTATTATTATTATTATTATTGACATCATTATAATATTGATAATAATAATAATAATTATTATTATTATTGATATCATTATTATGATATTGGTAATAATGATAATGATAATAATAATTATAATAATAATAATTACTATTATTGATATAATTATAATGATATTGATAATAATAACAACAACAAAAATAACAACAAAAAACAAAATCAATAACAATGATAATAATAATGATAATAATAATAATGATGATAATAATAATAATAATATTAACAGTAATGATACTGATTGTAAAGCTGTCCATTGGTAACGCAACTTCACATAAATATATATATATATATATATATATATATATATATATATATATATATATATATATAAGCGCGTGTGTGCGTGTGTGTGACACGTACACACTAATACTGTGTGTATATAGTATTACTACATTGACATTCTGGCCCCGAGTGTGTAGATATATATATATATATATATATACATATATACATATATATATATATATATATATATATATATATATATATATATATATATATATATATATATATATATATATATATATATATATATATATATATATATATATATATATATATAAGCGCGTGTGTGCGTGTGTGTGACACGTACACACTAATACTGTGTGTATATAGTATTACTACATTGACATTCTGGCCCCGAGTGTACGCGGTCTTCCTTCCTCTACCGTGGCGTCTGCTCTTTTTGTTTGCACGTTGCAGCCGTTGCAGCGACTTCAACTAGCTGTGAGGAACATATTCACCAAAGCAGAATAATTCATTAGGCGAAATCGATTATTTTGATTCAGCGGTGAAGCGATGAACCAGCAAGCGAAATATTTAGTTTCACTGGCCGCTCTTCCATTGTTAGTGCGATAATCCATTAGTCTCGTTCATGTTTCCAGATCTGGAGGGTGGAAAGGGTGGCCATTAAGCCTCCGTCATGAATTAAGGCCAACTGCGATGGACGTCCAGCTCGACCACTAATTTTATTCCGGCAGTAAATGATCTTTGATTACACTCTTATCACATGCACACGGTTGCCAGATCGAGCGGCGAGGTCCTGTAGTAGACACGTGGCAACGCTGCGGGACCTGCCAACCACGACGACAGAGTTCCGTTGTCGGCCGTATGGCAGGAACAGGCGCCCTGTTCGCCGCGGCCTGCACGCTACTACGATATGCTTGTGCACCAGGCTAGCAAAAAGCCTAAATTAGTCAGTGGGCGTGCGTGGGTGCGATGAGCAGAGCGAGAGAGGGAGGGAATGGCGAAGAGAGGAGGGGCGGCGGCGGTGCGACGGGCGGCCGCCCCGCGAGCGCCGCGTGCGGGCGCCGAGCCGCAGCCTCGCATCTCAGTTGGGTGAGAGCTGCCAGTGAAAGAGGGTCCCTATGTCACGGTATGTCGGCCCACGCCGCTAACTCGCGGCTGGCCGCTAGCTTTTCGGTGCAAACACATACTTCTGCTCGGTCTCCTATAGTAGAGACCGGAGATGCAGCGGAGAATAGTGGTTTTAGTGGAAAACGCGATGGAAGTGCTCTAGGGCCGCGCGACCCCCTGGCCTCAGCGCCATGTAACGGAGGGAGGACCAGCGCGCCCCCTTGCAGTGCAACGACAGCCAATAGTGCCAAAAGTTTAAGTCCTAGTGCCGCGAGTGCCAGTGATTATACAGTGAGCAAAAATGGGCACGCAGGAGCCGCTTCGACACACCACGGAAGCGCCCCCGGCGAGTCCAGCCCAATTACCTCTTTCAAGTCGAAGGATGCCAGCGGAGAGTGCGCGGGCGTGAGTGCATTTGCCAGCGCACGAAGTCACAACCTCGGCAGTGCAGGAGACCGATCCTCCCCTGCCAGTGCCCGGCGCAGTGAAGGGGGAAGGGAGTCCAGGATGGACACTGCCAACTTCAGACTGAGGCTCCGGAAGGGAGGTGGAGAGGGCGTCACGAAGAAGGGACCCTTGGTGAGTACTCGCTTAAGTCGTCTTCCTCCTCCTCTTCTTTCTCCTCCTCCTCCTCCTTCTTCTTCCTCCTCTTCTTCTTCTTCTCCTCCTTCTCCTTCTTCTTCTCCTCCTCCTTCTTCTTCTTCTTCTTCTTCTTCTTCTTCTTCTCCTCCTTCTCCTTCTCCTCCTCCTCCTTCTTCTTCTTCTTCTTCTTCTTCTTCTCTTCCCTCTTTTTCTTCCTCGTTTTTTTGTTATCATTCAGGCCAATTTTTTTCTGATTTTTCTCAATCCGTTTCGATTTGATGTAGGAGAGAAATGGCAGTTGGAAAAACCGTTCGTAAGTCACAAATTTAAAAAATATAATAATAAAAATAAACTTATTTCATTACCCTGTTTTCGGGTAATTGTCTTTCATTATTATGAATTAATTATATCAGTTATGGGTCGATACTATAAGTATTCTATTTAAAGAAACTTTCCGCCAGAAATTATATAAAAAAAATAATTGAAGCTCATCAACATAACATCAAAACAAAGTCCATTTTATTACTATTATTACTATTATTATTATTATTATTATTCCCGTATACGATGTTTTGAGGAAACTGTGCGTGTGCATGAGTTCATGTACACATTTTTTTCGTGTGTGTTTTGTTCGTGTATTTTTTCCGTGTAGTTTTTTTTTTTCTTTTTTTTTTTTTTACCATGAATGTGTTGTTTCGTATACGCTCTGGTGCATGGATGTACGTGTTTGTTTTCGTGTACGTTTTGTATTGATATATTTATTTCTTAATCGTGTACGTGTTTTTAGTGTACATTTTTTTCCGCACGTATTTATTTATTTATTTATTTTTATCGCGTACATGTGATTCATATATATATGTTTAATATATTTTTTTTCCCTTTTTTTCTTTCTCTTTTATCTTCTTTTCTTTTTTATTTTATTCTTTAATCGTACGTCGTTCTTGTACGTCATCCTGTACGTACCCTCCTTGCGCGTGTGTCCGTTTCAAGAACTCGTCAAGCCAGCGCCTGCCAAACCGTGTCCGCCATTTTAAGGATTGTAGGATGTCTCGAGTTGGCTGAGGGAGAGAGGGAGAGGGAGAGGGAGGGAGAAAGGAAGAGTGAGGGGGAGAAAGAGGGAGAGGGAGAAAGAGGGAGGGAGAGAGAGGGGAGAGGGGGAGGGAGAGTGGGGTGGGGAGAGAGAGAGGGAGGAAGAGGGAGAGGGAGGGAGTGAGTGAAAGGGAGGGAGAGAGGGAGAGGGAGAGGGAGAGGAAGGGGGAGGGAGGGAGAGGGAGAAGGGAGAGGGAGAGGGAGAGGAAGGGGGAGGGAGGGAGAGAGGGAGAAGGGAGAGGGAGAAGGGAGAGGGAGGGAGAAGGATAGGGGGAGGGAGGAAGAGAGAGAGAAAGAAAGAGAAAAAGAAAAAGAAAGGGCGAGAGAAATGGGCTAGGGCGGAAGGGAGAGGGAGAGATTAAAAATAAGAGAAAAAAAGTAGAAAAAAACATAAATATATATAGAGAGAAAGAAGGTACGATAGAGATCGAAAGACAGAAAGAGACAGAGAGAGCTAGAGAAAGAGAAAGACAGAGAAAGAGAAAGAGAAAGAGACAGACAGAGGATGTCCCGGGGCCGTATCCTAGTGGACGGGAAGTGTGGTAGTGAGTGGTTCGTACCTGCGTGGGAACTGACCTTGTGTGCGTGTGTGTGTAGGTAGTCAGGTAGATAGGCCTAGGAAATCGCGGCTGTTACTTTTCATTCAAGGGAGTTGCCAAAGCTAGCTATTATAGTTGTATATATATTGTTTTCTTTATTTTTTTTTTGTAATTTTTGTAATACGTGTTATTTTTTGCATATTTTTTCATGTTTTTTTGTTGTTGTCTGTGTTGATGTTGATAAAGGGAGAGAAATTTCGTTAAGTGGAGGGATGTTTTGATCATTCTTAACGTTTAGATCTAAATGTTTAACAATGACAGGATGTTTAAGGGGGAAAAAAGTGTCGTTATTGCATAATCCGTCGAACTCAGATCATTCATCGTGATAGAAGAAGAAAAGAAGAGAAAAGACGAAAAAGTGAAAATAAATAAATAAAACCAAAGAAATGTGTCAAAAACAAAACCAAAAAACAAAAAACAAAATAAAACACCGAGGAAGCTAGTTTAACACCAAACAACCTCGCCAAGCCAATCGAATGTGATTTAGAAGCAGTTATTGATCATTCGCTCGTGATTGGCAGCCGTTGCCTTGATTTATGAGGTAATGATGGACTGTGAGGCTGTCTTGAATAGCTGCTTGCATTCATAGATTCAAATGCACAGAGATGAAGAAGACAGCGTACATGAATGGCATATGTACGCATGTGGACGGGCGCGTGTGTACATACACGGCTGGGGGGTCACACTAGGGCAGTCGAATGGGTGGGATATAGGTTTTCAGAGATGTGGGGGTATGTCAGCAAAGGAAGGAACGCGTGTTAGCATACTGTACGCGCGCTCACATACGCACATTCAGTCACATTCATTCATTGACTCACACATTTACTCATTCACTCTTTCACTCTTATTCACGCATTTCTCTGTCTCTCTGTCTGTCTCTGTCTCTCTCTCTCTGTCTGTCTCTCTCTCTCTCTCTCTCTCTCTCTCTCTCTCTCTCTCTCTCTCTCTCTCTCTCTCTCTCTCTCTCTCTCTCTCTCTCTCTCTCTCCCCCCCCCTCACACACACACACACACACACACACACACACACACACACACACACACACACACACACACACACACACACACACACACACACACACACACAAACACACACACACACCTTCCTTTGTTCCCGCTTATCCGGACACCGATGTCTTATCCGAGTCCTTTTCCTTATCTCTCTTATCGAACTCTGGCGTACGACGGACCTTCCCGTAATAGCGATGACGGTTCTTGCCACGGCGATTTCGACGGTGTTATTTCGTGCTGTATTTTGATTTATTAGACGGCTCTGTGCTGTATTATACTGTTATAGCATGTCAGGCCATGTCATACCATGTCGTATATGCCATGCCTTGTCTTGCATTGCCATGTCATGCCGTGCCGTGCTATCCCATACCCTACTATACCATACCATGCCATGTCATGTCATGTCATGTCATATATCATTCCACACCACCATACTATTCATATTTTTCAAGCATGATTTGTGGATAATTGAGAGAGAGAGAGAGAGAGAGAGAGAGAGAGAGAGAGAGAGAGAGAGAGAGAGAGAGAGAGAGAGAGAGAGAGAGAGAGAAAGGGAGGAGAGAGAAAGAAAGAATGAATGAGATAGAGTAGAGATAGACAGAGAGAGATTGAGAGAGAGATTAAAAAAAAAGTGAAAGAAAAAGAAAGGGAAAGAGAGAAACAGTAAACAGAAACCTCGCCCAAGACGAACTGAATAGATATGAAGCGATAAGACATGATTCTGCAGACTGTTAATATCTCTCATAATTGTGTTTCGTGTCGGTCGACTGACATGCGGAATATTAACTACTTCCTTAGCTTAAACAATGGTAGGTGTCGTAGGGAGGGCCAAGGACCGTGGTGTCTGTGTCTGTCTGATTATTTGTCTATATGACTGTGTATCTGTCTGCCCTTAAGTCTGTCTTTATGTACGTATGTCTGTCTATCTGTTCATTTGTCTATCTATCTATCTCTCTATCTATCTAAATATCTATCTGTCTATTTTGGTATGTTTGTTGGGGTGAGAGAGAAAGAAAGAGGGAGAGGGCAGAAAGAAAAGGGGAGGAGGAAAGAGAAAGAGAGAAAGAGAAAGAGAGATGGGGTATAGGAATCCGCATAAGCACCGTGTTTCTAAGAATATTGATAAAAGAAGGAGAAACGTTAAAGAGACCAAAAGAGAACCAGGAGTTGAGCCAGAAAAAAAATTAACGAACTACCAAACACAATAACGGTGAGGAAAGGAGGAGGAGAAGGAGGAGGGGGACAAGGAGTAGGAGGATGAAGAGGAGGAGGAGGAGAAAGAGAGGAAGAGGAGGAAGAAGGGGAGAGAGAGAAAGAGAGGAGGAGAAAGAGGAAGAGGAAGAGAAAAAGAGGAGGAGGAGGAAAAAGAGAGGAGGAGGAGGAGGAGGAGGGGGAGAAAGAGAGGAGGAGGAGGAAAAAGAGAGGAGGAGGAGGAGGGAGGGGAAGGTGGAGATGATATAGTGGTGATCATTATAATAAGAACGAATATTAGCGGGTTTGTGTGTCAAGTACATGACCTACACACACATAGATAATGATAATAAATGAATAAAATAGATAAATAAATCACATGAAAAGTCGAAAGAAATAACGAACTCAACCTAGACAATAAAAAAAACAGGAATAAAGAAAACTGGCAAATACTGACCGACACAGAGTACGCCCACGGCAGGGATCAGCTGTCCAGTGGGCGTAGTAAAGGAACCCACGAGGGCGTAAATACAACCCGCCTCGTGGCTTCTTGTTTTGTGTTGAAATAATTTGTTCTTTTATTTTAGGATACGGGGGGGTTGGGTCGGTGGGTGGGTGGGTGTGGGGGGGGGTGAGGTGAAGGCACTGACATGTAGGCCTATTTTTTAAAGATTATTATTGGTAGTGTTATTGTTATTAGGATTGTTGTTTTTAATATTGGTGTTATGGTAATGGGGATAATTATAATTATGATATTAGTAATGATAGGGATAATGATAATTATTGATATCATTATCATCGTCATCATCATCATCTTTAGTTTTCATTATCATTATCTTTATTTCGATTATTATTATTTCTATTCTGATTTTTGTTCTTGTCATGTTATTGTCATTATTAGGCCCTTACGTGTTTATGTTATTATTGTATTAGTATAGCAACTTTCAGTTGCAATCATAATGTCACTCAACATATATATATATATATATATATATATATATATATATATATATATATATATATATATATATATATATATTGTCACGTCTTAGACTTTCCAAGATCTTATTTTACGTCACAAAAGAACCTGTTTGTGAGTCAGGTAGCC